CAAGTTTTGTGCTTTGATAGATTTCATTAAAGGCCTTTGATAACGTATCAATGTTAAATATTTTTTATCATTAATAGAGAAACAAAAGCTTAGTGGAATAGCTTTTTNACTTTTTACTTTAGTAATAATTAATAAATCTTTAATACAAGAATAAATAAGATCAAATATACACGTAAAAAAAAAACTGGAATTAAGGCTATACTCGTATTTGTCATCAAGTGGTAATTGGTGTGCAGTAATAGGAACACGTACGGTAGATTGGGTGCGGTAATAGGATCAGCTGTACGGTAATTAGGAGCAGGATTTTTAAATCGTTGATTAGTTATAAAATTATTTTGGTTCGGTAGTATGGTAAAAAAAATTTTCTTACATGCAAGGAACCCAAAACAACGATTTAAAACGTTTTGAATAGATATTTGACAGTAAACAATAATGCAGTAAAATATAAGTCGGTGCAAAACTGTACGGTAATGGGTACGTTTACCCCTAGCTGTGGATAAAATTAAGATTCTGATATGCTACATTTCATGCGTTGTGCTATAGCTGAACGAAAAGAGGCAGCTCGTGAACGATAGGCAACTCTGTCTCAATTGTCATGGTCGGTGTTATATCAGGCAGTGCAAGAGTAAGTTTTTTTGTTCAGTTTGTCGTCAGAAGCACCACACCTTACTGCATAGAGAGGAGTTTAAGACAACTCCTGCAAAAAATCGTCGTTATCGAATAGACCCACTGATGGTCAGGGAGAAAATCCTGACATTCATCATGAGCCTCAGTCCAATAAAAGTCTTTGTGCTATCACTAGCTTGGGGCGTAGCTACGGTTTACTTTTGGCACCTAGAGTTCTCTTAGCTACTGCTCTAATTTACGTTCGTGGCCCAGATGGTGCTCAAGTATTAGTAAGAGCCTTAGCTGATGTAGGCTCTCAAAGTTCATTAATATTTCGTTCTCTCTGCGATGTATTGAGCTTCAAAACCTAATCGATTAGTATATTGTTGACTGAAGTAGGTAATACTTCTGTAACTTAAGTCCGAAAAAATTATTACAAAACATTCCTACCTAATTTGATTCCAGTTTCAAGTGCGAAACTGAAGCTCTAGTCATTCCCAAGATTTCTTCTTATAAGCCCCCAACTCTAAACAGCTTAGTAAATCTCTCTCATATTCATTGGCTTCAACTCGTGGACCCAGACTCCCACACTCGAGACAAAATGGATGTTCTACTAGGAGCCTTGGTCCACGCCCACGTTATCCAGAACTCGATTCACCGGGGTTCTGCCAATCAACTAATATAAAATAGCCTTCGCATCTTGAATCGGGTGGATGTTGTCCGGGCCGGCCCCCAATTCATGACGTGGTGTCCCGTTCACCTCTAAGCAGGCAAGTAATGTGACCACCGAGAAAACTGCAGAGGTCACCGTGATGTACGTCTGTGAAGACGCTGGCCTCCTTTAGTTCATGCAGCAGTTTTGGCTAGGCAAAGCTCTTTGTACCAGACCTTAAGGAAGAGGATCTCCAATGCAAGAAGCACTTCATCAAAACTCTCTTACGATCCATGGACAGTCGATTTGTAGTCAAACTTCCTTCCAAGAGTCAGACTGTCGATACTCTTTACCTCCGAAAGCTCTCATACTACAGCTCTTTCGATGTTTCGTCAACAAGAAATAAGATTTAGGGTCAACCCTCCTGTGCTTGAAACTTACAAAGCCTTCAAGGGTAAGTACCTAGCTCTCGGTCATATACGCGAGGTATCGAATTCGAGTCCTACAAATTATTTTCTTTCACATCACGGGGTCTTGAAGGGTGATCGCTCTCCACCTTAGTTGCACGTAGTCTTTAATGGTTCTTCTAGAAGCAGAAAAGGGCTATTGTTAAATTTCCCACTCCAGACCAACCAAAAACCAGGTGTAGAAAAAGGCAGAGACTGTTTCTGTCCTTGGACTGTCTTGGGATCCCAAGACCGATAAATTTGCATTCAGGCTTACAATTGATGAAAAAAACTGTTCGGTTTTTCGACCCTATGGGCTGGTTTTCGCTGTCAATAATAGCTTCTACAATTTTACTACAATCTCTGTGGCTTCTCAAGATTTTGTGGGATGAGCCTCTACCAGCATCAGTTGTTGAGAGCTGGAGAGGTGGCTGGGTGAGATCCCTCAGATCAATAAATAAAGAATTTCTTGTTGAAACTATTACTCCCTAGTACCCAGTTTGAAATCCATAGAATCGCTAATGCTTTGGGTTCAGCCTACGCCACTGTCATTTATGTCCACCTCGTCAATGGTTCCAACATTCAGGGGTCACTCCAAATAGCCAAGACTCTAGTCACGCTCTAAAAGATGCTCAGCATCCCTTGGCTTGAGTTGTGTGCCACTCATCTGCTGACCGAAGTCATTCATCACTCCGTTGAGAGCTGCCCCTGTGATGGAACTCCTATCCACTTGTGGACGGATTCTCTTAACGTTCTCCACTGGCTTAACACTTTACTATCCAATTGGCCGGTCTTCGTCTCGCACAGATTTTCAGACATACTTACAATTTAGTACTCCGTGCCAAGTGGCACCACATCACGTCCAAACGAAATCCATCTGACTTGACTTCTCGAGGTGTCTTCCATAGTCAGTTAATCGACAAGCGTCTATGGTTTGATGATCCAAATTTATTACATGAGACTGATCCTCAGTACCCTGACCTGGCGATAGCGGTCATAGAGCCATCTCCGTCGTTTAACCTTGTAGCAAGCTGATCAGTAAAATAGCATATCTAATGAGCGAATACTTTTCTTGATCGTTGCTCGCGTTGGTTACGTCTGGAACAAGTGACATCATTTGTCATGCTTTTTTCTTTTCGATGCCTTAGCCGACTGAGAAAGTAATGTCCATCAATTTCTATACAGTCCACCGGTCTCTAAGCTTCATTCACTGTAAAGCATTTGCTAAATCTAAGTATCTAATGCTTAATATTGCTGAGGTAGAAATGGCCACCTTGTTTTTGGTTTTTGGTTATCAACGGTGTCACTTTGCGACTAATCTTGAATTCATAAAACGCAATTTTGAAATCCCAATTATTCAGAGAGAGAGCTTCTTCCTACCTCAAGCCAATCGCGTAAGCTCACTTATTTCCTTTATGAGGCTATCTTGGCGCCAAGTTTCAATTTAGACCTGGCGATAAGCCTGGTACTAGGCGCGACTCTGATCTCAATCTCTTGTTACCAATCGGTAAACTTGACTACCTACGAGGTACTTCCTACTACGGCAGTGTAAAGTTGTAGAATAACTTACTCTTGTATGTGCGCGAGATGTACCAGCGGCCGTATTTCAGGCAGGCACTATATGTCCACCATACTGATAAGTTGCGAAACTGCGAATAATTGTTGCTTCAACTGCAAATGAGCTTGTTCTTAATTACTATTTTTAACTCTTTCTATATTTTCTTGGTATGTATTTGCTCTATCATATATTATATTAAATTTTCAATCCCTACAGGGCGCGCAAAGTGTAGCCCTGTAACAACTTTACTAACTATTAATTGTAATATTACTTGTATACTGCTTAGGCTACACAGGAACACTAGGCCTTGCTCTATGAATCCTTGGCCATATCAATAAATAAACTCGAAACTCTATGAAGGATTATTACAAGTTGGAGACAGGTTCAGTAATGCCTTGCTAGATTAACTAACAGGTTAAGTAATGCCTTGATAGACTCTGATGCTAAGTACCTTCTGATCTTATTTTGCAGTGATCCTCTTACCGTACTTTTATTTGAACGCTATTATCTTCTCACTTTTCATGGTGGTACCTAAGTTACATTGACTGCTCTTCATCAGAAGTACTGGATTCTTAATAATTGTCAGATTGTAAGTTTCATGATAGCTCACTGTCTGATTTGTCGTCAATATTCTGATCAGCCTCAAACACAATTAATGCCTGACCTACCGAGAGTACCGGTGTTCATCACTGGCATGGATTACGTCGATCCCTTTTCTATTCGTCTGGCAAAGCACCGCGGGAAAGGGACCTTTAAGGGCTACGTTGCAGTCTTTAACTGTGTGGTCACGAGAGCTGTGCAGTTGGAGGTCACCGAGGATTACTCTGCTAACTCTTTTATAGTAGCTTTCCAGCGTTTCACATCTCGTCGTGGTCACTGCTCTGACCTGTATAGTGATTGGGGCACCAACTTTGTGGAAACTGATTGGGAGTTAAATAAAATATTGTTAGATGATTAAGCAGAGTAAGTTGGCAGTGAAAGAATAGGCATACATAAGTTATATCTTTTGGTGCACACGTTTATTTAAATCATATACTTATTACTCTTACTACTAGTACTACCTCGAGGTTAAACAATACTAAACTAGCAGTGGACCACTCGCATGTAAAAGCGATTCTGTAGCGGTACGTCTACCACACAGAAACACACGAGTAGCTCATCGCTTACCAAGCGATCGACGACGACTAAACTATAAACCATAACTCGGCTCTCAGCGCAAGAGCATGGCCCATACTAACATATATACAAACATACTTATACATATATACATTCAAATACATTTATTGGATATATTATGACTTATAACACGCCCCCTCAATAAACAATTTGAATGATACAAAAGAGAAGAACAAACAAAGAGAAAAATTTGTATACATAGTTACAAATAATATCACTTAAGTTTAATTTGTTCATTAAAGTTTTTTACTGTTTTATCACTGACACTTTTCGTTAAACTATCAGCCATAATATGTGCTGATGATACAAACTTCACCACTATGTTACCTTTCTTTATATTTTGATGTATGAATTGATGTCTGGTGTCTATATGTTTGGTGCGACTACTGTAATTTCCATTGTCAGCCAGAAAAATTGTTTCCTTGTTGTCGCAGTAAATCACAGTTGGTTTGTTGTCCTGAACACCTAGTTCTTGAGCAATTCTTCGCAACCATAATGCCTCTTGTGTTGCGGATGAAAGAGACAGATATTCAGCCTCTGTACTTGACATTGCGGCAGTGGGTTAGCTCCTTGTGCTCCAGCTGATTGGTCCCGACTGAAGGAGTGAAATGTATCCTGTAACAGATCTGCAATCCCTCGAGTTCGGTGCCCAGCTGGCATCACAGTGGATATGTAGTTGAGCAGGTGGTTTGCCATTGTTAAAAGTCAGTTTGAGCTCGCATGTGCCTTTCAAGTATCTGAGCATGTGTTTGACTATATATTTTAGTGCTGACTTGTATAGGCATTATTAAACCTGCTCATCACACTTACAGAATACGATAGATCTGGTCTTGTGCAGCGAGCAATATACAGTAGACAACCGATGGCTGTTCTATGTGGTATTTGGATAGGGTCCATGAGCTTATTTGAGTTAGTATCGTGATTGTCTTTATATAGCGTATCAAGGTGAAAACCTGTAGGCAAAGGTGTCGATACTGAATTGCAGTCATGCATGTTAAACCTGGCAAGTACTTCCTTGATATAATCTGTTTGATCCAAAGAGATGGTTCCACGATCATGATCCACAGCTATACTAATACCAAGAAACTTGCGAACAGGACCTAAATCCTACATGGGAAAAATCCCACTGATATGCTGCTTGAAAGCACTCAACCATGTTGGGCTATTAGAAAAGACCAAGAAGTCATCAACAAATATAGCTACAAATATAAAAAAATTGGTCCTGTATGCGCTGATACAAACAAGCATCATTTGCTGATTGTGTAAACTTCATGGTCTGGAACAACCGGTGCAATGTCTGGTTCCATACCCTGCTCCCCTGTTTCAGACCATATAGAGCCTTTGAAAGCCTACAGAATTTATCCGGGTGATCTGGATCCTCAAATCTTTGTGGTTGTTTTAAATAGATTTCTTCGTCCACTTCACCATGTAGAAACCCTGTCTTTATATCAACGTGATGAATATATACTTTGGTGCTGGAGGATGCAGCAAGGATGAGACGCAAAGTTGAAAACTGTACAACTGGTGCATACGTTGAGTTGTGGTCTGAACCATACTCCTGGGAAAAACCCTGAGCTACCAGGCGGGCCTTGTATATGCTTTTGTCATCTTGGTTTATCTTCTTTTTGAATACCCATTTAGTGCCTATAGGCTTCTTGCCAGGGGGTAACTCTTGCAAAGTCCAAACGTTATTCTTGTAGATAAAGTGCATCTCTTTCCACATTGCATCTCGCCATTTTTGGCCTTCGGGTCCTTGCATAGCCTGTTCAAATGTGGGTGCATTGAAATCCTCCATTACTGCTGAGTATAAAACAAAATTATCCAGGTGTTGTGGAACTTGCTTCTTTCTGACAGGACGTTTTGATATGACTTGGGGCTGCTAGTCATTCACTTGATCATTCACTGGTGTTTGCACATACTGATTATTTTCAAAATCCATTGAATCGTGTTGCTCCGCATTCTGGTTCTGTGATTCATCTGAAACTAATGTAAATGTAGTGAATGAGCGCTTTTGTTCTTGTACTGGGTAAAAATTTTCATCAAATTTGACATCTCTGGATATAATAATCTTTCTGGCTTTCTCGCACCAGAGTATATAGCCCTTCTGTCCCGAAACGTAACCAAGAAAAACACATTTGCACGTTCTTGAATCCATCTTGCCTCTAAACTGTTAAGGTAGAAAAGCATATGCAGTGCAACCAAAAATTCGCATGTTTGAGATATCCGGCTTGCTGCCTGTCCATCTCTCATGTGTGGTACTACCATTTAGGCGTGAGTGTGGAGAACGATTGCAAATATAGGCTGCAGTAGCAACCGCTTCTGGCCAAAAAATTTTTTTCACATGCGCTTGAAGCATCATGGCTCTTGATTTTTCTAGTAAAGTACGGTTTATGAGCTCAGCAGTTCCATTCTGCTGAGGATTGTAGGGCACAGTGGATTGATGCTGTATTTCCTTACCTTTGAAAAACTCAAGAAAATCACCCCTTAAATATTCTTTCCCATTGTCTGTTCTTAAGATTTTTAATTTCAAGCCACTTTGATTTTCAGTGAAGAGAATAAACCGCTTGGTGATTTCTGGAACTTCAGCTTTATTCTTGAGGAAATAGACAAACAATTGTCTGGAATAATCATCGACAAATGTTATAAAATACTTGAAGCCGACTCTCAAAATATCTGGCACTTGACAAACATCACTGTGTATAAGTTCAAGATTTTGTTTTGATTTTGTTTCAACACTGTGGAACGGTAGTTTAACAGTTTTGCCTTGGACACAGGCTTCACAAAACTTTAACTGTTTAGTTTGAAAATTTATGCCTGTGGCACTACGATTCTTTAAAATATTTAAATACTCATGATTGATATGTCCAAGTCTTTGGTGCCACAAATCTATATCAAGGGTAGCGGCATATGTTTTCACTGAACTTTCACTACTCTTGGTATCACATTTAAAATCTGAATTGATCTTAAATAAATTGTTTCTTAGGCGAACACCTGACATGACTAGCGTGCCATCTGGGCAATAAACAGAGCACTTGTTGTTCTCGAAAAACACTTTATGATGTTTTTGAGTTAGGCTGCCAACTGAAATGAAATTTGTAGTGGCCTTAGGGACATATAACACATTGCTTATTTCAATAATCCTCTTCTGTCCTTGAAAAAACAAAACAAGTTGTACAGTGCCTGAGCCAAGAGCTTCCATCGCTCCACTATTTGCAACGTTTATGTTCGACTTGAAAGACGAGTCCAGATTCTTAAATAAACTCTTGTCTCTACACATATGCATTGACGCTCCAGAGTCCAAAATCCAGTCTTGTGAAGTGTGTTTATCTACTATGGCCTTGAACGCAAACATAGCAAAGTTGTCGTTTTCCTTATCTGTATCTGGCTCTTCGTCACTCTCTGTTTTGGCTTGACAGGCTTTTGTATTATTATCTTTCGAGAAACGGCAGTTTCTAGCTATGTGCCCAAAACGTTTACAGTTGTAGCACTGTACTAGCTTATTTCTTTGAGAACTATTTGCTCCATTATTATTTTGCTTGCTCCTTGGAAATCTTTGTTTACTTCCAGCGTAGAAGCCTTGAGCAGTCCCTTCGATGGCTTGAGGGATTTCAATTTTTTGTATTAATGTATTTTTGACCATATCAAATGTTAATTTCGTATTACTGCTCTCCATGGCCATTTTCATGGGGTCATATTGATATGGCAAACCCGCAAGCAATAATGTAGCCAACATTTCATCCAGCACTTGTAGTCCACTAGCTGCAAGCCTTTGTGCACAGGTGTTAGATCTCGCGTAAGTGTGTAAGTTCGACAATTAATGCACATCTGCTCTGAATGCCTTCACTGCCGAAAAGCTTTTTAAGGGCATCCCAGATATCCTTTGCACTAGAGAGCTGGTTTACGTGAGTGTTGAGTATAGGCTCAATTGACAACATTATCTGGTCGGCTGCCTTCATGTTCTTATCCGGATCAGTGCTCAGTTGCCTACCTTCCGGAACCTGCACTGTGTCCCACAGCAAATCACTTTGTAGATAAGCTTTCATCGCTACTGCCCATGTAGAATAATTCGCCCAGCCTTTAAGCTTCTCAATAGTGTGCATAGCCATCTTTACTTTAAAAAAATGCACACGAGTCACACTGATTTTAAAAGTTCCGTCGAACTTTCTTCACTGCATAGTTCAAAGCCTCGAGATAAAATACAAAACAACACCGCAAAACCTACAACCCACTGCAAAATGCCAGAATCTATTGCAAAAGGCCCATAACCTATTGTTAGATGATTAAGCAGAGTAGGTTGGCAGTGAAAGAATAGGCATACATAAGTTATTTCTTTTGGTGCACACATTTATTTAAATCATATACTTATTACTCTTACTACTAGTACTAACTCGAGGTTAAACAATACTAAACTAGTAGTGGACCACTCGCATGTAAAAGCGACTCTGTAGCGGTACGTCTACCACACAGAAACACACGAGTTTACCAAGCGATCGACGGCGACTAAACAATAAACCATAACTTGGCTCTCAGCGCCAGAGCATGGCCTATACTAACATATATACAAACATACTTATACATATATTTATTCAAATACATTTACTGGATATATTATGACTTATAACATAAAATGTTAAGAGACCGATGCAAAAGCATTTTCTTCTTCGATTCTTCGTGCGCCCTTGGCACGCAATGACATTTCACTCTCCTATCAGCTTCCTACTTTGGAGGCTTATGGAAAGCTGCTGCCAAGTCGACTAAATTTTACCTCTAGAGAACAATCGGAGACCAGGTCCTTACTTTCGTCAAATTTTCCACATTGCTATGCAGGATCGAGTCATGCCTAAACTCAAGGCCTCTAGCTCCCTTGACTAGCGACCCCTTCGATTTAAGTCCTCTAACTCCATCTTATTTTTTGATGTTTCAACTATCTCATTTGATCTCAGAGCCGAAATTCACTTCCAAGGAAATATCGCCGCTGCACCGATGGAAGATACTGTCCTAATTTGTACACTGTTTTTGGAACAGGTGATCCGCAGAGTATCTCAGCTTTCTCCACACTAGGGAAAAGTGAGTTTTTTCGAACCTCCGATACAAGTAGGAGACCTAGTCTTGGTAAAAAATGAGTCCACTCCTCACGGTAAATAGTCTCTTGCGATAGTTGTCGACATCTTCAAAGCTCGAAAGGCAAGAGTGTGAGTCGTAAATGTTAAAACTTAAAATCCCCTTTCAACCAGATCTATCCATAAATTAATATTACTACGCACCGTCTCTGAGATTGAATCAGAAGGTACTCTTTAAGTCTCTCTTAACTACTAAAGAGGTGCAATTTTGTATTGGCGATCTCACCTCGTCGCCCTTTCCCGTTATGTAGTTAATAACAATGATAAAATTTTAACTACCAAGCGAAAAGAAAAATAGAAAATTTTGCCGTTTCTCTGTATGTTGTTCTTGTGGAGATTAAATCGTACTCAAGAGTTTGTAGTTCTTATCTAGAAAATTTCAAACAAACAATTATAGAGACTATTTTTTTTTATATTACAATTTTTCCTGTGTTTTACAGGTGCATATATTTTTTTTTTCTCATCCAAGCCACTAACTATTAATTGTAATATTACTTGTATACTGCTTAGGCTACACAGGAACACTAGGCCTTGCTCTATGAATCCTTGGCCATATCAATAAATAAACTNTCAAGAGTTTGTAGTTCTTATCTAGAAAATTTCAAACAAACAATTATAGAGACTATTTTTTTTTATATTACAATTTTTCCTGTGTTTTACAGGTGCATATATTTTTTTTTTCTCATCCAAGCCAGGGAATTTCACAAATTTATTATTGTCTGGCGATTAAGTCACTTATATTGTTAAAGGTGAACCTTAAGTTTTTTGTGATAAGAGCCTTTGCGTAAAATATTTCTAATACATGTTATAATTGTGTAACATACCAAGTTGATACAGACGAATCATATCATTAGTAAAAACGCAATGCATCCGTAAAATGCATACAAGACGTATTGTGTACATACAGCAAGCTCATATGACAAGTGGAGCTCATACGTCACATATGTGTGTGAGTATCAGCTTTAAGAAGCATGAATGTTTCATAATATGCTGACATATAATACAGCCAGCCTCGTTGTTAGAATGCATGTATGTATTGAAATTGTACGTTACCTGTATGAATGCATAAATCGTATATTGTTATATGTGAATGAATTGCTTACTTGCGTATTGATTAACCATTTCTAATAATGTATACCAATTTAATGTATACCAATTTCATTATACTCCAAATTGATTGTAAAATCCGTAAAAAGATTAATGGAAAAATTTGTAAACTTATTTGTCACACTTGAACTTATATTTGGGCGTTTTTTTTATAGGTGATGCAAGCTTTCATCACCACTGATCCAAAAAACTCAATTGACTTGTCGGACAAGTGCAATTGGTACTGTTGTATTCTTATTTCCTAATACATGAAATCATAACATGTAACATCATCGTGCAAGCCTACTGTTTTTCTGTCAACGCAATCTGCAAGAACATAGCTCGTTGGTTAATCTAATTCAACTAAAGGCCTCTTTTACTCGCTTTGACGGTATAAAAACGCACTATCAAGAGAAAAAATCACTTTTTTTACGTCTGTCACCTGTCCTCTAAAGTTTTAGTCTACTCTTGACTCCCGCGACTTACGAGTACCTTATACATGTAAGGCATAACGTGTTGGCTGAGGAAACTTGAGCTCATTTTGAGAACATCCATAGTATCGGACTACGCTAAGGAGCGAGGTACAACGAAGGAGGCCCATCGAAAGTGGTTCCGGCGACAACAGAGAAAGCAGAAACCGCAACATCTTTCTAGCCATGAACTTATTCGTGTAGTTTTAGGAATCACTGGAAATTACTGCACGAAGCATTAGGGAACTCTGAAGCAGCAGTAACAAAAATCAGTGATAGATGTAAGTCATTTATCAGTAAAATAATTGACACTGAACCTTGTTAAAGTGACCCAAGTAAATTGTATTTTAAATAATTAATTATTTTAAAATCGTTTTAATGAAAGAATACATCATCCATATCATTCCAATAAAGATTTTACGCAACTAAAAAGAACAAATGAAGCTCATGAGCTGAACCCTAAGAGAACTACGAATGACCCTAAAATAGAACAGTTAAGACCATACTCTCAACAAGTCCGATCCTAACACTTAATAAAGCTGGAATAAAGATGAGCTGTAAACTATGCTTGAGAGCACTGAAAAAAATTTGACAAGATTATTTAGTTAATTAATACATAGGAAGATTCGCCGTTTGTACGTATTTGGGAGAAATTATATAACATGGTGTCTATGCCTCAATGCTTAGCGAAAAAAAGGGGGATTTTTTAATATCTAAATGTGTCTTCTATACATCAACTCGAGATACATGTACCACATCAGACTGCACTATTATATTATTCCAAATAGAGCACGTAATTTCAAGTTTCTCAGTCGTGCCACGCTAGGTGCTGTATTGTACGTGTGTACTAGTGACACTACCACCAACCTACTCGTTTTATACGTTGATCACGCAGCAGGGTTTTGTTTTTCTTGTTGACAAGTCACGTCGAAAAAATCAGTCGATAGCAAAGTATTGACACATGCATAACAAAAAAACAATTTTTTGTTTTAATTATGACACAAGCGCAGTATATTATTTAATATTAACATATTAACTTTAGTGTATAGTGTATTATTTAATGTGCAATAGATATTTATTTTATAATGTCTTGGTATACAAAATTGTATGAAGCTTACAAAAAGTGTAATGCAAATAATTTTTCTGGACAAAAAATCCAATGAAACGTAAACCAATTATAGAAAAGATTTAAAGAAGACAAAGAATCATTTCCAAGTGACGTGGAGAAGAAAATCAAGGAACTTCTTCAAGAAAAAACAAAAAAAGATGCAGAAAAGATTCTTTTGTTTACACGGCAAGTAAGATTAATCTTCATTGAAAAAATTTTTCGTGTTATCTAAGCTATGAATAAAACTTGAAATAAATTTTGTATGATCTACATTGATGTTAATTTTATTTATATTCATTATAAAATGCAATTTTAAAAATAATTTCTTTTTTCAGAAATCTGTAAGTAAACAAGTTCCCGATGCTAGTCCTTTTGTTTGCGATAACTCAAACTCCGAGTCAGTATCGAATTCGGTACTGATTTTGCAAGAACCACTTAATGCTCAAGTCGAAAATCCTCCTAAAGGTAATAAAATATTTATCAGCAAAAATTAGCACGCATTTGAACTTTAAATTTTTAAATCTGAATTGACACAATGTAATACAATCCGAACGAAAAAAAAAACTTTTTTTTTTACTTTTAATCTTACTTTAACAATACGTAATTTCAATTAAAACTTTAATATCAAAAATTTTTACGCGTTGACGAGGTAATTTTATAATCACTGATATAAAATCAACTAAAAATAAAAAATTGAAAATGAAAAACCATAAAAAAGGTTGGTTTCAAGAAAGATCTAGATAAATATCCCATGATTGGTTGTTTTACCTCAAAATTGAAAGAGCCAAGCTTTTCGAAATGATCATAGAGAGAGATTATCTAAAAACAGTAACAGAAGTCTTATAGACACATTAGAGAATAATGACAATAAAGAACAAGAAAATAGTAAGCTTCTCATTAATAAGGATAACATTTTAAGAAAAAGCGTGGATCCGAAAAATTGTACAGATCGCTGGACATTAAGATGTATCTTATTACACTCCCAGCATAATGACTATATGATTCTAGAAAATACTAAGAGAACCTAAAATGGAGACAAGAAGTAAAGGGAAAAAAGAATTATTTTTGTTTTCTCTTAGAAATAAAAAAAAAATTTCTACATGTACAAGATATATAGAGACGATCCTTTAACGTGTCCACATTAGGTACAAACATAAAAAGCAGTATTTGAATATATACTGTGTTAGCTAGGTCACTGTAAAGTCATTTCTGAAAAAAGAACGACATTCCTATTTAATAATCATAAGTTCTATGAAAATACGAGTGTTGAAGATAATACGGTAGCTTGGGAGGCCGAAAGAAAAAGTAATGTGTAGATAGAA